GTAGTAGTAGTAGTAGTAGTAGTAGTATCAGTAGTAGTAGTAGCAGTAGTAGTAGTAGCAGTAGTAGTAGTAGTAGTAGTAGTAGTAGTAGTAGTAGTGGTAGTAGCAGCAGTAGTAGCAGTAGTAGTAGTAGTAGTTGTTGTTGTTGTAGTAGTCGTAGCAATAGTAGTTGTAAGAATAATAGCGCGATCAGTAGTAGTAGCAGTAGTACTAGAAGTAGTAGTAGTAGTAGTAGTAGTAGCAGTAGTAGTAGTAGTAGTAGTAGTATATTAATTAGTAATTTTACTGTCAGTATTGTTATGAATACTGTTATTAGTAGTCTTCCTCAAAAGCTGCTCAACCGCGACTCGGATGCCGTGGCCATCAAGTACATGCCATCCGCGTGGTCTGATGGCATAAAGATGCAGTCATGCCGCATTTCGTAATGCTCTGTCATAGCTTTGTTGCATATACAGTACTGTACTCCAAATGCTCCGACTTGGCACACCAGCTTGTAAGCTCCTTGTGGTAGCACAAGAAAGAACGGCGTGCCTGGTGGAGAAGGCTTTTCAGCATACTGCTGGAAAACGTCTGCAGCAAATTGGCGTGGGCCTCACCCGCAGCCTTCCGTGCAAGCTCCCGCTCTGCGTACTTCTTCATGCCCAGGAGATGCCATGCATCGACTCCGTGGGATGCACAATAGCTCCGCAAGGATCAGGATTCAACAATCTGGCGTCTCTTCTCTCTCATACTCTGCCACCTTGACATCACGTTGGTCACCTTGCTGATGCAAACCGATGACGTTGCCAATGCCATGAAGGTGGCCACGATGGCCAATGTTCGTTCGCCATCTGGGACGGTTTCATATTTGGCAGCTTCTGCATGCCGTTCGTTTCGCTACTGGGTCCGTGTACCTACATAGTATATAAGATTGCATTCGAGGGGTTCCTTTCTAATGGCTTTATGGCCAAACTGTGCCAAAGTGTGTGCCACATGGGTGCGTTTCACTTGCGACATACTCTGAAGTGCTGACCCCCCACCAGTGAGCTGCAACTGGCTCTGAATACCACACCTGCAAGCCTGAGAGATCTGTCCAGGGATTTCGAAAGGGGATATCGGAGGGCGCCGAAGTCCAACGGCTGACTTTTTAGTAACATTGGAGGATATTGATGTCCGGGACCTCTTATCTGATAATCTGGTCTACTATCGGTCGTTACGTTCTGTCCTAAGCCTCCCAACCCACCCGTAAACCCCAATCCACAACAGCCCGGTCCTGTCTGAAGAGTCATGTTCCATTTCATCGATGATGCTGGTAGCCTTGACAATGTTAAAGTCAAAGATGCGAAATACATCGATGACAGGGACTGTGCACTCCTCAGATATCCAAGCTTGCAGAGGCATGTAGCCTCAACAAGTTTTTCAATCTCAAGTGGTACCGACGTACTTAGACGCTCCCATTATGAAACGCAAGTGCTGGATTCGGCGTTCAGGGTTTGGACGGTTCGTGCAGGAAACAAGAGCCAGGTCCCCGCAAACGTCGGACACCAAGACAAGATGCTACATTGCAGAGACATGGTGAATGCCAACCCTTAAGCGCAACACTCCTATCGGCAACCCCTAAGCGCAACACTCCTATCGGCTCCCCTCTTCGAAAAATATGCAGGACCAAGACGCAACTCTTGCTCCTGCACCCAGCCATCCGGCACGTTTCCCACCCAGTACCAGATGCATGTGAGCAAATGCCTCAGACCACTGCGGTGCCCACTCAAAGCACCCAAACCAAGAGAGAGTCTGACACATCCACCCCATGCAAGGACATAAACATCGAATCTATTCAGGGTCCTTTCCCCCCTGAGCATGAAATCCACAACAAGCCAACATCTTGCCGCGTGACAAGCCGTACATCAGGCTCGCAACATACTTGCCCGCATCAAGAACAAAGCGCCACGAGCTGCCTGGGAAGGTGAAAAATCGTAGCAGCAGGAAACGGATCACATGTCGCAATACCCCCCCCCCCCCGGCTGCCATGAAGCATGGTCCGACTTGCCAGCAGTGATCGTGCTGATCGTGGTGGGGATTTGATGATTCTTGCCTTCTTGCTGTTGCTGGTGGTGCTGCTGCTGGTGCT